CAAAGTACTGAAGAGCAATGATGTCAGTCATAAGTTGCACCTGGCGCAGGCTGTGGTCTTTGCAATTATTTGCTATGCATCAGAGAGCTGGAAAATGACTAGGGATGATAGAAGGAAAGTTGATGCCTTTGTGCTGTGGTGCTGGAACAGAGTATTAAATATACCGTGGACTGCTAGGAGAACAAACAAGTTCGTCCTGGAGAGGGTGAAGCCAGGCTTCTCCTTGGAGGCAAGGATTCTGAAGCTTCGTCTGACATACTTTGGACATGTTGCAAGGCAGGATCAGTCCTTGGAGACGGATGTCATGCTTGGGAGAGTGAAGGGACAGTGGATTAATTCAGTCACTGGGGTAATGGTGGTAGGTGTGTTGGAGACAATAAGATTGGCCCAGGATAGAGAAAACTTTTGGGCTGTTGTACATAGGCTCACTATGAGTCGCAGGCGACTTGACAGCACATAACACCAACAACCACAATCATCACTCTGATTATTCATCATCTTTTGATGCTTTTTATGACATTTAATATTTTTCCCAATGAAATATATAATTTGATTTTTTTTGAATGTTTCAATATTGTGAGGTTTAAATGTTTTCTTCAGTCATTTCAGCTTGAAAAATAGTGAACATGTTCTTTGGGGTTTATGTTTGGTTTTTTGTTTGTTTGTTTGTTTTCTAACTCTGGATTACCAAATTGTATGAATTGTATGATAATAATTTGCCTTATTTTCTTAAGTCTATGCTTGAAGTCTTCTGTTCTATGCTCTTATTTCCTGAATTTTTTACATTTTACTGTAGGTTTTCTAAGTTGTAGAGAATGTTTCAGATTTTTGTCTATACTTAATTTGGTTATTGCTTGCTTTTTGATGACATTTTGGTTTTTGTTCATGTGTGATTTCCTTAATGCCATCCACAACTGGCCTGGTTTTCATTTGTTAATATTCAAGTCATCAACTATGTTTTTGAGATGATCTTGAAATTTACGTGGGATATGCTCATGGTATTGTGCTTGCTTGAACCTACTTTAATTTTCTGGAACTTTATACTGAATTTTCATGAAAGGAGTGTTTGCTCTTGGGCTTGTTCTCTCTGATGATTTTTAACCTTTTCTCCATTCTCTTTCCATAGGTGTAATTTGCTTAAGTCTTATGTATTTCGCCCAATGCTATTCACTTGAATGTTTTTGGTTTATTTTTGAAGGTGTTTGTAATGAATAAATAATTTTATTGTTTTTTTAAAATCTTATTTTTGTTGCTAGGTGTTGTTGAGTCAACTACAACTCTTAACCTTCTAAATAATGGTTCTGTACCTTGCCTTATCCTGTGATTGCTACTATTACTGATATGACCTATTGAGTCTGAACCAATCTGTTGCTGACCATCCAGTGGGTTTGCAGAGGCAGAAAATTGCATAAGAGATGATTGCTTATCCTTGATCAGTCTTACAAAATTCTATTCTGAGATCTCTAGCCACATTTCTGTCACCAAGGCCATATTTTTCAACCGTCAATCTTTTCTTACTGTCATCTTTTGCAATCCAGTCACCAAATATTAGTAATGCATCTTGTTTGCACAAGTCATCAATTTTAAGTTGCAAAAATTGGTAAAAATCCTCAATTTCTTCATCTTTAACTTTATTGGTGGGTTTAAAAATTTGAATAACAGTTGTGTTAAATAGTTTTCCTTTTACATGTATGGATATTTTCCTACTCTGGCAACATTATAGTTCAGGATAGATCTTAAATTTCTTTTTTCTGACAAAAAATGTATTCCATTTCAATATGCTATTTTCAGCAGAATTTACTGTATGATTGTCCATTTAATTTCACCTCACTAAGACAAACTGTGGCTAATATTGAGAAGAATGGGAATCTTTGAACACTTAATTGTACTCATATGAAATCCATACCTAGACCAAGAAACTATTGTCAAGATGGAACGAGGACTCATTGTATGGTTTAAAGTTGGGAAGGGTGTTCATGAGGGTTGTATCCTTTCTCCATACCTATTCAGTCTGTATGCTGACAGCAAATAATTTGTGACGCTGAACTCTATGAAAAAGAATGTAGCATCAGGATTGGGGGAAGTCACATCAACGACCTACCTACTACAGATGACATAACTTTCTTGCTTAAACTTACTGTGCCCACTGGCCCAGTGGAAAGATTCTTTTATATCTCTATACTATGTTAAGATTGGAACTTAACATCTTACCACCAGGCCGGGGGCAATATCATGATAGATGGAGAAAGAATATGTGTTATACAACATATATGCATGTGTTAAAGACATAAAGGTCCTTACCATTGGGCCAGTGGGCAACATCATAATAAATGTAGAAAGGATTGAAACCTAATTTTGCTTGGATCAACCTTTGCCATCTTTGGTACCAGCAGTCAAGAGATAAGGAAACGTATTGCTTTGGGCAAGTCCTCTGTCAGTGATCTCTCCAAAATACTGAAGAGCAATGATATCTGTTTGAAAACTAAGTTACATCTGATTCAGGGCATGGTTTTATCCCTTTACTTATACATATGAGAGCTGGACAATGAATAAGGATGACAGATGAAGAATTGATGCCTTTGAGCTGTGGTGCTGGAGAAAAGCATCGTGTATCCCATGGACTACTAAGCTATGTCTTGGAAAAGTGCAGCCAGAGTGCTCTATAGAGACAAGAATGGCAAAGCTTCATCTCTCACACTTTGGACATGTTGCTGGAAGAGGCTATTCCTTGGAAAAGGATGTCATATTTGGTAGGATGGAGGGTCAGCAAAAAAGGGGAAAGCACCTGTCAAGAAAGATTGACATGGTGACTGCAACAATGGGCTATGTGTTTCAGAGATGGTGAGGACGGCACAGGTTAGGACAAGATTCATATCTGTTGTTCATAGAGTCACTCTGAGTTGTACTTGACTCTGTAGGACCTACCAACAACAACAACATAGCCTTGGGTATTGACCTTTATACATTCAATTTCATTTTTTTACGACTTGCCAATTTTTATATTTTATGCAAAACACATTATCATTATTAATGGATGTAAAGCTATTTTTTCCTTATTTTGATTAAATAAAGATCCTTTATTGGCTGAAAGCTTTATTCCTCCTATGTTATTAAAGTTGATTCTACCTTGACTATTCAACCATTTCCTGGATCTTATTTTGAGTATATTCCAACCTGCGGGGCAGTATGTCAGACATACTTTGTTTGATCTTCAGAAAGTTTTATTGACCAATTATTTCAGTAGCGGGTAGTCAATCCTACTTCTTAGTCTGTCTTACTTTGATAATGCCACTGAAACTGTCCATGATGGGTGACATGATTGAGATTTGAAATACTGGTGTCATAATATTAAATATCTCATCTACTTATAAGACAGTGCAGTATGATACACTCAAAATGAATGGTAGACCTTAAAAAATGTTTCCAGACTTGACTTTTAATGTATTAACTCCAATAATTTTGTGATCACAAAGAGTATGTTTAGTATATCGACTATCTATTTTCTGTTCCTCATTTGAACTCATATCTTTCTTAAGTTCTTGATACATCATTATGATTAGTCATTCTCTGTGTATGTCTTCAACTTACTTGTCTTATTTTTGTTTTAAATACATGCCAACTCTTTCTATAATCGTCTTGTGGAATTCTATTCATTCACAAGGCTTTAAAGGGTATGTATGTCAATGATTAAAATATTGACACATCTAACGTATAATGAAGAAGAGTCAGTATGTTTGAGTTGTGATGTTGGAGAAGTGTAGCAAATATCTAATGTACTGGAAAAAGAACAGACAAATATGTCTTGTAGAAAATGCAACAACAGTTGCTCTTTGGAGGCAAGGATGGTGAAGCTTTGTCTCATATATTTTGGACATGTTGTTGGAGAGGCCAGTCCTTAGAATAGGATATCATGTTTGGTAAGGTGAAAAGTTATAGAAAGAAGGGAAGACACTCAATGAGATGGATTGATACACTGATGGTAACATTGGACTCAAGTATATCACTGAGAATGAGATAGGTTCAGATACATTATTTGTATGCGTGATGGTTGACTCAACAGACCCTAACAACAAAGCTAAAATATTTTCCTGAATTTCATGATCATATGTCCAAATATCTAGTATATGTCTCTACTAAAATGGGAATGGTCATCTCAAAAATACTATGAAAAATACTGAGTTTATATGCTACCCTCACCCTAAACATACTCCTCTAATAATAATTCCTTTCTTTCCCTCAGATCTCATTTCTGGTTTGTTAGCCAAGTTGACTGTATTTAATGTAAAAAAAATCCATTGTCCAATTTCTTCTATTTAAATTGCTAAAATCCTGATCCACTCCACCATTGTCTCTCATTTAAGCTCCTCCTGTTACCATACACTATTCCCCACTTTCCAGTCTCTTCCATCTTTCAGTTCTCAACACAGTAGCAGATGTAATTCTGTTAAAAATTAGGTCAAATAATGCCACTGTCTTTCTCACAGCTTCTAAATACAGAGGCAATCTGGCTGCACATTCCCTCTTCTCGGGCTATTTCCTCTTGCTCACTTCACTCAGCCATGGTTAGACTAACACTATTTGTGTAGGTGGAATAGAGGTTTAACTTAAATTTAGCCCACACTGATTCATTTGAGAAAACATGTAAGTTTTCAATATAACAGAAGCTATTTTACATTTTACCTATGAAGAAAGTACTAGCTAGCCTTTTTGCAGCCATAAATTTCTTACTTTCTTTTTGTTTTATCCTCCAAAAAGAAAATAAAAAAAGGTCTTTATCTTCATGAAAACTGTTCTTCAGTTCAAGAAAATGACAAGATAAATGGGTAAAAGCAGAAGGCCTGCTATTATTAGTTTTATTTTTCTGTTTTATTTATGCATTTATTTTATGAAATATTCCTATTGAAAGGCAAAACACCCTTTCTGGAAGATCATATTTACCTGCTGCAATTTGATAAATTAAACATTGGAACTGATAGTTATAATTATTTATTTTTATTTAGATCATCAGTTTCAATCACAAGAGAAATCATCTTGAAATACAACTTTACACAACACCTAAAAGAAGAGGAATATTTAAAGAAAAAAATAAGAGGATATATACTTCGATGTAAGGTAATGTATATTCTAATATATTTTATGTGGCACAGAATCAGAAACGACTTATACCTGACCCTCCAGCAGGTTTTCACCGATTGTACATCATACATGAGATTATGCATCTTTCTCCGATGGAGTTAGAAGTGAATTCAAACTACCTGCCTTTGGTTTGACAGCACAACTCCTTACTGCTAGGCATCTACCTGTGTTTGTTTGGTAATGCAACTCCTTACCACTAGGCCCA